ACCGTGAGAGGCCCATTTTATCTCGTACAAGGATTCCCTCGCTCGATATTATTCGCCTCCACCTCGACACGCATCGCCGGCATTAGTCGCCTCCTCGCTTTTCTGTAAATGGGGAAACAGCCTTTAGGCTAGTACGCATGAATATGCGAGAATTCGGTTTCGAAACGACGCTTTGAACGAGAATATTTACGTCATTGGACAGATTGTTACGATTCTTTTTCTTTAATTTTTTTCGCTCTGTATAAAAATCTTACGTATGTATTTTATACCTTTTATAAAACTATACATCTTGTATTTAATAGAAGTTTGCTATAGTTCAGAAAAATTCTTCCTCAAGCAAAATTGGTTTTATTATATTTCAGCATTTTATATTTTATTTTATTATATTTCAGCAATGTTTGTGTGTTTTAATTATAATTTCTGTCTTATATCGTGTGGTTTCATTATATTTAGCAATATTTTAATTATGTAGTATTTAAGTAATATTTTATATTATATATTTTCATTGAAATTAATATTTAATACTCAGTATTTTAATTATAATTAACATATGACATTGTATATTTTCATTAAAGCCACCGTTTTATATCACATACTTTTCTCATAATTACCGTCTTAAATTATATATTAAATCACTGAGTACCTTTATCTCTAATAATAGTTTAAAATAACAGTGTTTTTAATGGTAGCTTGTGGCGCTTCTGGCGGGAATTTCAAATTCCGCCACCAGAGGGCAACACCAAACGGTGCCATATGGCGGCCTTTATTCAATTTCCCGCCAGACGTCGCGTTCGCACCCCTAGGTGTTTCATAATACTTCCATTTACTTATTAAAGAGTTTGAGGCGTTTGTGATCCATAAAATGACGTTATATGCGACACTTGAGACTATAAGAATATTTACATAGCTGTATAAGATTATAGTATCGGCACTTTGGCAAACAATATTAAATATTAATTTGTTTCTTGTACCTTGGGAAGTTTTTTTTCAAGGAAGGAGGGAGAATGATTTATCAGTCATTTTTTATTACTAATTTTTAAATACAGTTTTTGAATTATAGGAACTTTAGAAGTTTAGAAATCTGGAATTTTTCAAAGGAATTCGGTTTTTGGTAGTTTGAAAATTAGTGTTCATATGAAAATAGTAAGCTACCCCAGTCCCTTCTAGTTACGCCACTGGTAAATATGTGCACATTGAAAGACATTGTTGGAACCGCTATTAGAAAGTCGTTTAAATATGGTACACGAAGTAAACTGCATGCATAGGTACACGAAAGTATTCGAATATTACCTTATAAACTACTCAGTTTCATGTCAATAAACATTAACACTCTTCTTTTCCTAAAATAATTTCTAAATTTGAAACATTTTCTATCATACTTTGCTCACAAAATTTAAACTCGAATATTTCTTCATCCACATAAAGACATTACGCCATAGAAAATGTAAAAAGTAACCTGGTCTAAAATATTCCGAAAGACCGAAAAAACCTGCATAAATTAACAGAGAATAACGTACGTAACGTTTCCAAGATAAACAATCCATTTCTCGTGCCCAAATCTTTCCAGAGTGTTCCTACTTCTTGTATTGAGTCTGCTATAGCGTACTTACATAGTTAATTACAATTAACACCTGTCAGATAAGATTTCTTGAATAAACATCGACCACTAATTGAAGTTCAAACAAAAATTGGTATACGAGATGTAGGCAAGGCTAGGTTCGTTTAGGTTAGGTTATGGTTGTAATTGAGCCAGATTCAGTTAGTTCAGGTTACTTATATGATTATAGGTTATTAGGTTACGACTGGGTGTTTAAATTAGGTTCATGTTGTAAGAAAGTCTAATTTGAATAACAAAATCAGGTGTTTGAATATGTTGAGGTATAATTTGATTAGCTTAGATTATTTGAGGTTAAATTATGGTTACAATTAGATTAGGTTCAACAAGGTTAGGTTGTGGTTACAATTAGGTTAGGTTTAGGTTAGGTTATGATTATAGGGTCAAGGTTAAAATGTGAAGTTTAAAACGAATAACTTTGAACGTTTTATGTGATAATTAAAATTAGATTCCTATGTTTACCTGCATTACATAACCTATTAAACTTAATAGCACCTTAACAATATTATCGATACACGTTAAGTATCAATAAAATGTCGATTATCGATTATCAATAACAGCATCTCTATTACATCCCCCATATTAAATTTCCAAAGACACCCTGTACATACGTGTACACACAACGCACACGTCCAGACGTAGATACACAGGGAGCATTTCGAAGGTTGACGTCATCCGGAGTCCCACCCTCTTTAAATTTCTGCTGAATGCAACTCTAGGAGAAAAAAAGAGGGGAGAGATGTGGATATGGTTAAAGAGTAGGTGAGAAAAAGATGGAGGTAAAAAACCAATGAGGGAGAGACCCATCGAACCTATGCCTTTTCCCTTCGACGCTCTTTTTCTCTCTTTCTCTCTGTTCTCCCTTATATTCTCCCCTTCTGTCTTCCCCTGTGAACAGCGACCGGGGGCGGGTCGGGCCCCTCTCTATAAAGCCTGCAACGGGTTTCTATTCTCGGATGTCAATATTTCGTCAACTAGAGGCCACTCGGCACCCAACAAAAGCTCCTACCGCGTACAGCTTGCGCGGCTGGCGTGAGAGAAAGAAAGGGAAGGATCAGAATCATTCGTTAGGCGTGTTTTAGAGATGCTACAAAATTTAACATAGTGTTAACAGTACTATTAACTTAAGTTAAGTACTGTGGAAAAAGGCTTGTTTTAATCGAGAGCTATGGGAAAGGTTTTCTATCATTTTAGTCCCACTTTGTCAAATTTAATCTAAAAATTTTTGCATTATCAAATTTTCTCAAATTTATAAATTTCTACCTTCTCAAATTTTTAAGTCCTCAAATCTCCCAAGTTCTAAAATCATTTTGTCACGTCTAGCACTTAACAGTTAACAGATTTAGGGGTCCCTTAAAAGTGGTTGTTACGACAATGCGAACACCCTGTATACGGATACAATATGCACACATGTACGTCGAGAAGCGAGAGTACAGCAGTAGACGTGTTCTGCCGTCGCGTATTGAATTCGACCGAGAGAGGCTATTATTCGGAATTTGTTTTTGTTCGATGCGCCATAATCACGTCTCGAGGACACCGCGGGCAGAAAAGAGAAGGCTCTCTTTCATTTTTGGGTGACGGAGAGCCGGTGACGCGCCCCTCTTCCGTTGACTTTGAAAATACTCTTGGGGGTCAAACGCGAAAAAAATTATTTAGCAAATGATTAACGAGATCTTTATATCCGTTTTTTCTTTCTTTTCGTCTTTCTTCCTTTCTTATTCTAGTTCTATCATTGTGGAGGACGTTCCTTTCGACTGTCGATCGTAACGGTTTTATTCCATGCCAACAGCGAACGGCATTGGCGACAATGTCTGTATGTCTCTCGTGCAAACAACTTTATTCGAAAGTTATTTTTAATCGTTTTCAAAATTTAAATAGAGTTTATTTGTTTTGATAATTTAGAAATTACGAGGTCATACTGTATACTCTTTAATATTTTTATTAATACATAGAAATATAAATATTCAAAAAATATTATGTACGTATAATATTTTACATAATAATAAACAGTTCCATCGAACAATGAATACACCGTATCATATATCTAATCGATTATCATTTTGCGTTTTAGATGGTGAAATTCTTATCTCCCCGCTATAAATGCATATCTTATCGAATCGATTCCAGGAGGAAGTCCATGGAAGACTTTCGCAGTAAATGAACGTAATATAATCAGAAAGATTTATTCATATTCAGTTTTAAACTATCTGTATATTTCGAGAATCGGGTACAAACTAGTTAAACAAATTTGAAACAGTGAATTAACAACGAGGGAAGCACAACTCTCGTTCCACTTTCGTTCCGAAAGTTTGAAGCACGAAAGTTTCGAATCGAAGTTGCACGAGAGATGCACGAGAGGGCGCCAGGAGCGCTGAAAAAAGCGCGCGAAACAAGCTTTGCCAAGTTGAATCTATAATTATTCGAACACCGAAGGTTTTTATTACAATTTCGTCAAAATAAATTACTCCATTTTATATAGATTTTAATAAAGTTTACAATTTTTTTTTATTCTTATATATTTACAAATTTCTTCGATATAGATTACATATTAAAAATTTACATATTAAAAAATTTGAATGAATCTAATCGAACACCTCAGTAAAATGTTCTTTCAAAATGAGGTTATTTTACTTTAAATTTTTGTACAGAAATTCCCGCTCGTTTTACAGAGGCTTCATGCGCATGCGCAACAGTATGAAGCGTGTCACGTGGTAAGTCGACACCGCGAAGGATACGCTACGATACACACGGTGCACTCTTTCACGTGTTCCCGGAGTTTCGAACATTATGTAGAACAATGGTCATCGTATACCCTCCTGTTGTTCGTGACTTCTTTTTCACGTCTGTCTGAAGTAAATTTCCCCAGTGGCCGGTATCGCCTCTATTACAAGTTAAATTTCTTTACAACGGTCTACTAAGTCCCGTGAAACTTCCTCCTCATTGTGACCAGCTCGGAAAGCATATTATAACCGTTTTATTTATAACTCCTACCTGTACCTCCAATAAGCATCGATTGCCTCACCAAGGGATAATGTCAGAGTTCCATGTACTGACACATTGCGATATTCGATCGCTACGGTAGATGCTACAGTTTCTTTTTTATACCAATGTAATTTTCGTTTAAAATTCCCGCCCGAGTCGCTCAAATATCATAGAAGTATATTTTGGGATTTTTCAGTTTTTATGTATTGGGACTTTGTGAATTTGCTTTGTTGAGGCTTATGGAAGTTTGGGACCTGAGGTTTTGGAATTTTTTCACTTTGGAATTCGTGTAATTTGAGGACCTGAAAGACTCTGAAATTATAGTACTTAGAGACTTCGAAATTTTTTAATTTTTTTAATGTAAAACTACCTTAATTTTGAAAACTAGCATATCAAAAACTAACATCCTAAAAATGTTAAACAGCTTTCAATTTTTAACTTTCTCAAATTTCCCCAAAAAGTATCTCGAAAACATTAGTAGACCGTAAACAGCTCGAGAAACCGAGCCATCAAAATATTCTAATTACAAAGGTTTCACTGTAAGATCATTGAAACATATAATGATCCGTTGAGCCACATATTCTACAATTAGAGAAAGAGAGCGTCGTGCGTAGCAAGAAAATGGTCGCGAGAAAGCGTCCAGAATAGAAAGCATTGTTGGTTAGAAACGAATAGTTAGGGTCGATGTTCGTGCGTAATAATTCCATTCTTAAACCGTTTGAAAAACGCAGGCAGGCCAGGTCCATTGAGATCCGTTTGTAGGTAGATATCGACGTTGTATCGGACAAGTCGAAAATGATCGGCGCAAAAGGCCGTAGTATGTTCCACAGCACGATTGCACCGGCAAACGGTGTTTGTAGCAGAACGGTATTATAAGCGGCGGCAGCGTCGGCAGTGTGTGAATAGCGAGCACGTGCATTTCCCACAGAAAACCAATAGGGGCCTTGGCCAGCTGGGAATATGAACGGTGGCGCAGGGTTCGCCTCTGTCTTTCGATCTTTTGGGGTATGCGCGGCTCGAACGGGGACAGAAACGTTGAACGAAGGCTACTCGAGAGGCTCACAATATTCAGGCCAAGGAATATGTCGATAAAAGGGCTCGACAAAAGCATCGCCGCGCCGACTTTCTTCGTCCTTTTTATCTTTTTAACGATTTACCACCCGGCTACCGCCAATTGACGGGTACGCGTTGTAGGTACTGTCATATTAGAACCAGGGACACCATATGGCGTTTCGAAGAAATCGATCATGGTATATATTCCTATTGGACGAGGAAAATTGCACTTTCATGGAGATAACGCGAGCTTCAATTTTTAGATGTCATAATTATTGATCGGTAATTTATACTGCAATTATTTGCTTCTATTCTGGTTAGGTTCGAGCGAAGTCACTTGTATCACTGTTCTACTGTAGCATTGTACTGTACTGCTATACCAATGACCTTATGATTATATCACTTTTCTTTCTCATTGTACACACTGTCTTATATTATTTTGTTCATTTGACTGTCTATAGTACTATCATCAAATGTAACTTAATTTCAACACAGTATTTGTAATACGTGTTCCAACACATTCCCACAACAGCCAACGTGTTAAACGTACTCTAATTCTCTATTCGTGGAAAAAATAAAGCTTTAGTAGGGGATCAGTCGCAAGGCGAATCGATCGAGCGTTTAGAAAAGAAATAGAAGGGAGATAATTCTAGTTCTGTTTTAACCTTTAGCGAGCTAAACATCTGAATTGGTACCTAGTCGCGGAAAATTGGTAATGCATAACCTTTAGCATTCCTTCCAACTATTTAAATCGATATTAGCATTTCGATAAATATCCAGGGAATTAAACGCGAGGTCTTAATTAAATATCCTTAATTTAATATTGAAGATGATCGATAGGCGCGGATCGAGCCGTCACGTGATACATGATTTAAGTTGACGACCTTCTCAAATAATTCAACAAATCATGAATAACTGACATATTATTATTGCCGCGCCACGGAAAATGGAGAACGATGCGATACAATCGATTACTCGTATAGTTCGAACACGAATCTGACCTACAAAGCAATATCCACATTACTCTTGCTTCGATATTTCCACCGGTTGTTGCATTTTTCTCCGTACAATATCATTCATCGGGTATTCAGTATCGCTAACGTGAATAGAAGAGGACTTTTAATAGAAACGCAATTGTTCTTGTCTGTTTTCAGCAGTAGTCGGTTTTCGTTGAATCGGCTGTGACACACGAGCATCGTGGTCGTTTTCGTCAGAGTTAGCAGTAAAAACACCATCAACAACGGCGGCGATAGGCGTTGGGGTGCAGCCCGTGTTATCATCCGGCTATCATAGCACGGTGCCACCCCAGAACGGGGGTGGTGGTTCGACATTTAGTGCCGCGGCGATGGTGGCAGCTGCCACCGCTACGGCCACCGCCACTGCAAGC